ACAGTGCTTCTTGGCTTTTCAGCATAGATTGGCTTCACTCACAGGACGAAATCTCAACAGAAATTTGCTATAGTTCCTTCATTTGCCTATCTACCGGTTCAAAAAATGCTACCAAAAAATCTGTTTAATGTAGCCAAGCATTCACCTGAGACCCACGAATTTGTCGCTTATCGATCCAAGTAACCTTATGAACGGTAGGATGTATAAACCCAATTACACCTCAATAAACTGATCTCATGTTGCTCACCTGATTGAGAAGTACCACGACACGTGTGACCTTAAATCACCCAATAGAAGAGCCGAAAATATCTACCCAAATTTTCAGGTCAGTAACCTCAAGATTTTATGGATTGATTGCCCTGACAATGTGGCTCGCGGTGCATTTTTACTTAAACGAACGATTTTGGGACAACCCGATGACACGATCAAGTCACGTGAACCGCACAACCAGGGCGGTCCGGTTATGCGCATCAGTATGCTGAATCACGGTCGTATTCGATTCGTTCGACAGCATTGCAACATGTGTCCATGTAATTCGCTTGACAAGGAAGGCTAACAGGTGCAAATGGATGGGCCTCTTCACTCGTCACCAATTTAACATGATTGTCTGACTAATTGGTCTCAAAATTGGAGTGACTACTCGTGGAAATCGTTTGACTTCCGAATCCCCCTGGTTGCAACTATCGACGTTTCTACCTAAGGTGCAGGCATTGCGCCTGTGTAGACTGTATTAGGTAGTATCACTGACAGTTTGACGATTACAGATTGTAAACGTTCGGAAACCTCAGCAGTCTGCTGCTCACACCGATGTTGTGAGTAGTATCTGACACCCATCAGTCAGCAGATGAACTTATGGGCTATTCGTCGTCATTGTGCAAGCCGTACACATAGCTACCGTCTGATTGAGCATTCTTTCCTGCTTCCCTCAGTCAGTACGTTGGATGTGCGGCCGTATACTGATCAGTCAAGCAGTTCAGTATAAAAGCAATCCCAGGGTGTGCCAATGGGATGAAAATGGGCGGCCTGACAGTGAACAGTTGTCGCGTTTTATGTTTTCCGAGGCATCACTTAAACGACAGTACCTTGCTCTATAAGTTGATCGTCCGCCCGATTCTAGAACACTACCTAGTCATCTATCCAAGCATGTTCAAATGGGAGACACACACCGCTTTCACAAAAGGAAAGAAATGCCTGAGGACGGATACGAACAGGTGCTTTATTGAATAATTCGCTAGCCCACTCACTGTCTACTGGATCGATTCCCGACGTCAGGCATATGTGTACAGAGGACTTGGATGTAACTTGTCCCGGTACGCAAAGATCTGTGGTGAGAGTTCGTCTGCATGAGCATCTCTTTGTTCGAAGTCTTATTTCACCACCTGCCAAGTCCGCTGTTACTTCACGATGATCTGGAACGGTCCTAAAACGCCTGCAGATGGCATTTGCTGAAGCCTGATCACCTCATTTTCCGTGGTTGAAACCTCCCTTATTCAATGGCTACTTTATTGGAACCAAACCGTGAAATGAATCAAGGTGATTTACTGACCCAGCCACTTTCAGACCACACTCAGACGATCATATCGCTTATGGACGCCGGTTTAAACATGGCCTCAGCGATGTTTAAACCAATATGAAGCGTGAATTCTTCGCCACGATCACCAAACAAGGCAGCCCCTTTCGTTCCCCTTCTCCTCAGTTAGACCAGACGTTACAATGCTCATCCTAACGTGGGACCCAAATGAATCCGATATCCGCACTGTGCTAACCTCGTAACTTCCAAGGAGAGCAGAACCAGCCTGGGCTGTAGAAGTGTCTTCATCAAACTTGCGAGTGATTTATCTCGTCGATCTTTCGAATGCCATAACAACTGGAACAGTTGAAGAATACAACAGCAGATAAATTCAGTTGGGATTTATTTTAGACCAATTTCCTTTCTAAGTGAGTACAATTTCGCGAAGGACTAAGAAGACTACATTTGGATTGAGCTTGCCAGTGTAGCAACCCAGTCACCCACATACTTGACTGTTCAGCTCACAGTCGCTCACTGGATTACGAGACTTGTCTTTTTTTTATACTCACAAGCCACGTCACTTTAAGGTGATACTCATCGGACATCGAATATCTGTACCCCCTAGTGAGCGTAACAACAACTCATTTGCTGACACACCCACGTACGCGCAAACGGACCAACATATAGGGAAACCGAACACTGTCAGCACAGCACAGTCAGCACACACAGACTCGCGCGCGCGCAGGGAGCAGGAAGTCAACGGCTCTCCACAAGTCCACGGACAACTATGGAACACATGTAGCAGCCATACCGCGGAGCAAACACGTTCCCGCCGTCCAGACTCTCACCAAGGAACTCTCTTTTGACTTGATCCCATTCTGCATTGTATTTTTTTATACGTGTTGCAACCCACCTCGGTTAACCATACTAACAAGTTTATTAGTGAATATACCTTCTGAATTGGCCATTACCAACAGTGCATCAATACCAGCAGGTGTGAGCAACGTTAACGCGGGTCGTTCACAGATCAATTGATTGCTGCTAACGCTGCGTGAATTTAAATTCCGCTGGACCTAATATCCATTTAGTGCATTCAAAGTTACACCATTTGTCCGATTCCAACTAACTCAAAATGGGTCATTACTGCGTGTAATTCACGGTTTCCAACATCAGCCAGTACCAAGATTTCATGCTAAAGTTCAGAATCCCTTGTCCCGACCGCAGTCACACAGTTAGATTTAGTTCGGTTCAACCAAATTTAACTCAGAAGTGGAACCTGGTCCATAAACCAGGTCCCAATTGCTGTTTTGTCGATAGTTCTCATCCGCATTCCGTTGATACCCTCCGGTACACACCAACGAAAATATCACGCGTCATATTTTCATAAAGGAAACTAATCATAAGGTTGCTGAAAACTCTTCGGCAGTCCACGACCGATTTCGCCCTTCCACTTTGGACTCATCAGGTAGGCGCAGTCCCCAAGTTTCCGTCAACCTTATGTTCTATATGAACCCAAATTGAATTATTTTCGAAAAATACAATCACTTGCCAATTAATTTGGTTTTCAAGAGAGACTCAAATGAATCTCTCGTATATGATACTCTACAACGCGTTACTTATATCCTACTGCTTGATGTTCTGTTGAGACCCCCGTATCAAAATATTGATTGCACTTCCCGATACTTGTTTCAGTAGAAAAACGCATTTTCTTTTTTGTTTGAACTCGGTCCTGAAAAACACACAAAATAAGCGAAATCAACGTCCAACAAAATGTGAGCATTTTTCGCCAAACCGAAAAATCGATAACTTGAGAAGTTTACTCCCTTATGTGATTTCTCCTCACTAAGACGTTAGCGTGGACATCCAATCGCAATTAGTGTTTCTGGTAGACGAAAAAGAATGTGACTACTAATGGGACATGTTAATGGCTCGATTGATTTTCGGATGAATAAACAACGCAGATTTTGAGGTATTGAATCGATACAGAGTGAGAAAACTGCGAATACACTTTCGATCCTAATTGCATTTGAAGAATCCCTGGAAGGATGAACTACTTATATCAATTCCGGGAAGTAGTTAGCGTCGGATGAATTAAATGACACCATTGTCTTGTTTGTGTGTGATTTTGGGGGCTTTCAAAGTTTTGTCTTCCAAGTGAAATTATTCCGTCTGAAAGGCAAATTGGGAGCCATTAGCTTTGTGCATCTGTTGAAATTCCAGGGAGAGATTGTGAGTTCGAATCCCGTTGGAGAGTCATGCGATGTGTACTACTGATAAGGATACAGCAGCTGCGCATTACTTCTGGGCATTTCAGCGTATGCGTGCTTCATATTAAAAGGGAAATATCGATTGGAATATTTCTCTTTTACCATCTGAACTACCGCAGTAAATCTTCGGGTTTTCCAATACCCCCTTCCAACACAATAAAAGTTTGACTAGAGTTGGGTAATTTTTTGAAAATTCTGTGGTTTCGATCCACTTTTGGAGCATTACAACGGAAAATACTACATAATACTTGATTCTGCAAAGGATGGAAAAGTTTAGGCAATTCTGCAGAGTTCAACATTGAGTCTCGGGGGCAGTTTGGAGTGGGTGCGTAGAGATCCTCAAAGTCCAACTTGGCTTTCTGCATAAATCCTAGCCATGAAGCATTCAAAGCCTCTGCGGAATCAATTTCAATTCCCGAAACTCTACTTGATGAGCTTTACTGGTTTTCTCTGATTTCCCACTATCAAGAAAATCGATAGGTAAAACTTGGTCCGATCATCACCATTCTAACGTGGATGACATCATTCGCACTAACCTCGGGTAGGAAACCGAGCGACTGTCTGGAACGAAACTGATACCGGAGTGTGGCAGTGCTGAGTTCTTTATCAAGCTTGATTCGGCATCTAGCTAGCGAGCATCTGCGAGGAGACACTCCACATGTCGAAGATTACACAACAACTCAAAACCAGTTGTTTAGGTCCACTTTCCATTTTCTGACCAACACGCTGGATCCGGTATCCGTAATTTGGTGATTATAGACAACTGCGCCTCAGTTTCGCATTCTACAACGCGGGTTACGACTCACTAGCCTCTCGGTTCTAAAACGCTGGTCTTCAACCAGCCTGCATTAGAGATTCAGTGAAAAAAACAGCAAATATTCTGGTCAATTGCTGGGCGGTAGCTGCTCGCACAGAATTTTTCTATTCTGGCATCATCATCATCATCATCAGTGTTGGGACTGATGCTTCACTGCCGTACAATCATAAAGTTTGTCTAGTTATATATATATATATATAT